GAAGCTCCCTTATCCCCTCAGCTTCCCTTCCCTTGATCCATCACAACCTCTAGAAAGTTTCATGTCCATGAGTCTTGAATTTGTATTTCCATCAGAATAACAAAGAGAGACAGTCTCAGGTCTGGTAGCAGAAGTAAATCCCCTGAGAGGATAGTGAAGCTGTGGGACTGACCACACTGTGATTCTGTGGTTCTGAAGGAGGATAGCAGGTGAGGACTGGACTGCTTTTGAGGTGCTTTTCCATTGATGTTCCTCCTTATCTGTGCTCACTTATCACTGTACTAAGCATGAAGTAAAAATCCCAGGTATGGATGTTGTTTCTAGAGCAAGCTAATCCATCCCCATAGTCAGACATAGGATTAGAACTTTGATGTCAGTCAGTGTATAACATGTGGGCCTCCAGCATAGTGGTTAACACAATGCTTAGGGCCCCCGGATTCCACACTGGGTGCTGAGTTTCGCTGAGTTCTACTTCCAGTTACTGCTTTCTGCTAATGCAGACTCTAGGAGGGAGCAGGTGGTGGCTCCAGTACTTAGGTCCATGCCACCCATGCAGGAGACCTGGATTGACTTAGCAGTTTCTGGCTTTGTCCAGAACCAGCATCAGCTGCTGTGGCCTTTGGGATGTGAACTAGTAGATGGGAGACCTTTCTCTGTGTGTCTCTCTTCTGTTTCTATGCCTTTCAGACTCGATGAACAAATATATAATGAAAAAAAAAAAGAGTATGAGATGTCCCTTTGGGCCATGGCACCAGAAGCCACAAAGCAGATCACAATAAAATTGTCTTCTTGCTTGAAAGCCTACCAACATCTGTAAAAGGGTATGCCAATGGAATGCAAGCAGCTCACTCAGTGCTTGGGCAGCCATTGAGTATAGTGCTTTACCCAGACTATCCATTCTCCCTATATGAGTATCTGTGCAATTCACTGATAATGCACTGCTGGCAGGTTGCTGATGTACTGCTGGACTTGGCAAATGAAGGCAAAATATATGAGAGACATCTCAAGAGACAGGAAAAAAATGCTCAAAAGAGCATAACTAAATGGGGTCCAAGGCAGATATTGCTAACGGAGGTCTGAACTGGAGAGTGGGCCAGTAAAGGATGGTGAAACATCCAAGGTTTAGCATCAGAGGGAGCTGCTGCTAGCTGGAAAGTGGACACACAGTGTTCTGGGAGCCAGTGGAGCTGATGATGGGAAAGAATACACCACGTGCAACTGTCTCCGAAAAGGATTACAGCTGTCACCAAAATCCAAGTCCATGGTGAGTGAAACAACCCTCATTTCTCCTTTCTCTCCCCTTCTCCACTCTAGTACCAGTGCTCCTGGTTGGGGATTGGCCCAACCTGAAATCAAATAACAAGGAAAGTCAAGTGAAGGAAGAGATCATTGAAGAGAGCTTTGTGGTACCCAAGAGAAGCTCAAAGGGTAATTTTTCTACTCTCCTTGGAGTGTATTATAAAACAAACAAAACCTTCCAAACATAAGCAAGTGTCACTGATGGCATAATTGTAGTTCAGTCCTGCTGATGCATCAAAGACACTGCAAGGTTCACATGGTCACTTACCCATTTAAGCCTCTCTAGGACCCTGCAAGACTTCACTCAAGACTTCTTCAGCCCTGCAGAGTTGTTGAAGCACGGGTGCTTATTTTCAGCACCCTGGTCAGTACTACATCTATTGGCGAAAATACCACCTTTTTCTTTCTGCACAATGGGAGATGTCATTTTGAGATGGCAATCTTGGCAGGCTTGGCGATTCCAGGCTGCTGCTGGCCACATCCTCAGCCACCATATGAGAAATCACCAGAAGGTGTATTCATTTGGTAGGTCCCCTCACCAAGCTTCCAGAAAGTTCACATGAACTGCACAAGAACAAGAAGCATGTAGCAGACAAAATCGTGGAGTGCGTTCAAGGATATTTAAGAGAAGTATCCACCTAACGAAGGAGCAGGCAAAGGCATTGGAAGAGCTGCTAATACTGTACCTATCAGTCTCCTGAATCTATTCCATGCTTCTCATCAGCCACAAGTTTGCTCGTCTTGCTCCCTTTTGGTTTGGAAAAGGCAAATGTTTACACAGGAGAAGGGATGGGTTAATGTTGGAGGGATTTACCTGACCAGCCAGTGGGGACCTTGCCATCCTTAAGGCTTTCATATGATTGTCAAGTGGGAGAGTAGGGTCTCTTAAGACGTGTGTACTCTGGAAGCAAAATGACATGGGGTTCTAAGTGGACCATGTAAAAATATTTCTCAAGGATTGTTCATTTCTACTCCTAAAAACAGGAAAGAATGTTTTCTTTTTTTAAAGACTTTATTTTTATTGCAAAGTCAGATATACACAGAGGAGGAGAGACAGAGAGGAAGAGCTTCCATCTGATGATTCACTCCCCACACAGTGCAATGGCTGGTGCTGAGCCAATCATAAGCCAGGAGCCAGGAACTTCCTCTGTGTCTCCCAAGTGGCTTCAGGATCACAAGGCTTTGGGCTGTCCTCGACTGCCACAAGCAGGGAATTAGATGGGAAGGGCAGCTGCCAGGATTAGAAACGGCACCCATATGGGATTCTGGCGCATTCAAGACAAAGACTTTAACCACTAGGCCACCACACCAGGCACGAGAATTTTTTTTTTAATTCCACATACAAAGGCTTCTTTAAGAACCTTGTCCTTTCTGATCTACTGTAGGTAGGAATTATAATAACTAGGGCCCAGTGCAGTAGCCTAGTGGCTAGAGGCCTCACCTTGCATGCACCAGGACCCCATCTGGACTCTGGTTCATGTCCCTGAGGACTCATTTCCCATCCAGCTTCCTGTTCATGGCCTGGGAAAGCAGTCAAGAATGGCCCAAAGTCACAGGCCCTGCACCCACAGGGAAGTCTGGGAAGACGCTCCTGGCTTCGGATCGGATCGACCCCAGCCACTGTGGTTACTTGGGGAGTGAATCATGGATGGAAGATCTTCCTCTCTGTCTCTCCTCGTATCTGTATATCTGACTTTCAATAAAAAATAAATAAATAAAAAGGAATTGTAATGACTAGTAAATATTGTTTCGATAACATTATTTGGGGCACTTCACCAATAAACTTCCAAAACAATCAAGCAGACAAAGAGGAGATAGTTTTTCTCCACCCAGGCCCACAGGCTCTAGAGCCCACCATGAGACCCAGGGGACTGTGTGCAGGGCTGTCACTTCCCTTTCCTTTTCCAGTAATTACTCATGATGGCCACAGGCCAGCAAATGGCTCCCCTTGGCTCTGCATTGCTCCACATCCTCCTGCACCTGCCTCTTACCATATGGGGAGAAAACAGAGCTCTAGGTGAGGTCAACCCTTCGGGCGAGACTAACATAGGAGGGATGGCCAACCCGTTGACACCTTTTCAAAGCAGGAAATGGCAGAGATCAGCACCTGGGAGAGAGAAGCAACCAGAGCTCTGGACCCAGACACATAGGCAAAGCCCATTCCTCACTGATGACACTCTTCTGGGCTTGTAGGTGGCAAAATAATTTCAAAATACTTACAGGTGGGCGTTTGGCCTAGGGGTTAAACATGCCAGTGGACACCTGCGTCCCTTATTGGAGGGCCTGGGTGCCCTCCTTCGCTCCCAATTCTGGTTTGCTAATGAGCACCCTGAGACAGCAGGTAAAGTGTCTGAATCCCTGCCACTCACATGGGAGGCTTGGATTGAGCTTCCAGCTCCTGGCTTTGACCTGGCACAGCTGTGGCCACTGTGGGCATTTGGAAAGTGAGCCAGTGAATGGCTGCTGTCTTTCTTCGCCTTTGTCTCTCTCAAAATAAAATTTAACAGGCTTAAAACATGTTTTTATGTGTATATTATTTTCCTCCCTTTTCTTCAGTTCAAATGTGGCTTAGATGTCATCACGTGGGATTGTTTTTAAAATTCTAGTATTTTCTTCACCGTGGAATTCTTTTAGCATTAATCTTGACTGCTAAAAATGTTGCAGGACATATCATTTCTCCTGGCTCCTGAATGTCTGGATACCTTCCTTCTGTTCTGGGACCCACGAGAGGACCTCTTTCCTTCACTCCACCTCAACCCTGATTGTAACGCTAAGGTAACTTTCACATCTTCCACATTGGGCCACAGCTTGACCAAGCCTAAGTGTAATAGAATAGCAGAGGAAACAAAGGCTTTGTACCAAGAAACCCCCTATCAGCTTTGGGATTTAAATAGTACACTTGACGGACAAATGGAGATGCACATAAATTAGGATCAAAAGTCTTTATAAGCACTTACCTGAATCCAACCAACCTGAATCCAATGCACAGTTTGGAAGTGTAAAGATGGTGACAAGGGTTTTCTGTCTTGTCTGGTAAGGATTATAAGGACCAAACATAGCCATACATAGAAAGCCTTAATAGAATGACAAATTGAGACAACGAATTTTTCAGTGAATAGCGTGATTGACTCTATTGCTCCAAACACTGAGACAGACAGACAGACAGACACACACACACAGAGTTATTCCAACTCCTAATCCTCCACAGGAAAGTGGGTTTTCCTTCCCTGTTTGGGAGCCGAGCCTTCATACGGCGTCCTTCCTGAGGGGACATGGCTTACACCAGCTCTGCCCTGAGTCGGGATCACCTAGGGCGAGAGGAGCCTAACGGTTCCTGGGCTGGAAAAAAATAGAAACGAGCAAATAGGGGGTCAAGGGCCGAGAGGACCTAGCCTTGAAATTGGGGGCGAAGCTTCGAGTGTATCGGCTGTAAAATTACGCACGAAAGGCAGAGAGGACAGTGGCGCAAAACCCGGGAACACAGACTGATAGCGGTCTGGGCAAATTTCGGGAGAGAGAGACTGGACGCGAGACCGGGGAGATAAGGAGAGCGCAGCACGGTTCTGACTAGAGGACGGTTCGGCCGCGCCTCCTCAGGACCTGAGGGGCCTTTGGGCGGGGCCTTCCAGGGACCCGCCCAGAGGGCGGGGCTTGTCTGACGGTTACATAACAAACCTGTGTGAGCGGCTAGGGGAGAGCCGGGGCGCTGGCGGCGGGGGCGGGGCCGGGGCGGGGCCAGACCTGCGCCGGGGCAAGCAAGATGGCGGCCATGGAGGCCGAGACGGCACCGCTCACCCTAGAATCGCTGCCCACCGATCCTTTGCTCCTCATCTTGTCCTTCCTGGACTACCGGGACCTAATCAAGTAATGGGGCGTCGCGTGTGTCTGGGGTGGGGACACGGAGGGAGGAGGCGTTGAGGCGGGAGGGAAGGAGACCGAGGCTACCCGTTGAACCTGAACTCCCGCGGCACAGAAGGGGACACCAGGGCCGCCGTTATCCTGCGACCCTCCACCGGCGACACAGGCGAGACGGGAGCAGGCCCTCCCCGAGCTCTTCCTCCACTCCGGGACCCAGGCCTGCAGAGCGACGAGAGCCGTTTCCTCCAGGCCGCGGCGAGGCCCAGTTGCCCAGGAGGGAGGCTGTGCCCTCGGTGCGGTCCCGCCGCGCCCCGCGAACCCCCGAGGGTCTCCGCCTGATCTGCCACAAGCCCGGCGGCTGCGGGGAAAAGCCGCTGTCCCGGCCGGGCGCTCGTCCCTCTCGGGGCCCCGGGGCCTGCGGAGGCCAGCGCCTGCGCGGTCAGGTGGGCCGCGCGCACCGGGAGACAGGTGGTGTCCGACCCCAAAGTGCGACACTCGGCAGGCACCTCCGTCCCTGGCGAAGCTCACTTGGGTTTCCCGAGCTTGACAGTTGTTTGGCCCGTGCGTTTTGTGTTCTGGTACTTTCTTCTGGTGGTGAGGTACCGCTAACTGGCTTCTTTGCTATTATACTCTTTCCCTACCCCAGAAACGCACACACTGTTGCTGATGAAGGTGATTGAATGCTACGTTTGTCGGACCGCACTGAGTCTGGGGAGGAAATGGCACTGCCAACCTCACCGCTTCCAGTGTCAGGGTTGTTGACTGCCTACTTGTAGAGGAGACAGTATCACCCTCAGGCTGGCTAGGCAGGCATTGTAGCCATTTGGTGATTGTTATCTTGTGTTGAATTCAGGGTCTTTTTACGAATATGCATTTTCTTTGGCGTTAAGGAGGGCTTTGGTTGGCATAGCCAAGTGATGCCCCAGCGGTCGCCAGAGGTTGTGGCTGCTTCTTATCCTAGTATCTGCTAGCACTTCTTTTTCTGGACAACACATCTTTCTCAGGTTTGGACTGAAATGGAGAAATGAGAGTTTTCTTTGGGAACGGCTGTGCTGGCACAGGCTGTTTTTATCTGAAGCATTTTATTACTGTATCCTGCTGCCATTCTCCTTAAAAACTTGGCACCTCTTTATTTACAGACTATAACCTCAACTTCTGGAGCATTTAATGCCTTTGTCACCGGTCGGTTATCTGAGGCCCTTCAGACTTTATGTCTCTTCCACTCTCCTATTTGCAGTTCACTCTGGTCAAAGCAGACCTCTGCCAGGGTGCCACACTCTTGTGCCTTTTTTGTTGTGTAACTTCAGTTTTTGGCGTTTTCTGGAAGCCTTCTTCTCTTGTTGATATGCTGGGAGGGTTTCTTTGAAGAACCCTCTGTTTACTCTGTGTGTGTGTTTTTATTTGAAAGGTAGGATTAGAGAGGTAAGAAAGACAGAGATCTTCATCTACTGGTTCACTCCTCCAAATGTCAGTGCTAACCAGACCTAAACCAGGAGCCTGGAACCTCATCTGTGTCACCCACATTGGTGGCAAGGACCAGGGCATTAGGCCATCGTCTGCTTCTTTCCTAAGTGTGCTGACAAGGAGAAGGATCGAAGGTGCTGCAGCCAGGACTCAAACCACTGCTCACACAGGATTCCTGATTCTCTATACTGACCCCTGTATTCTTTCTCCACAGTATTTCTTTGCCATGCCAGATGGATTTGCATTTCAACTATTTTAAAAAAAAAGCACCGATGTGCCAACTTACAAGAGGTGCTGTGTGCTGAGAAGGCCATACATAGCTGTCTGTGAGAGGCAGGAAGGAGCTGCAGTACGTGGAGTACGACCGAGGGCTGCTGGAGGAGCTGGGAGCTAGGAGGCCGGGGTTGTAGGGAGTGACTCACGGAGGAGGCTGATGAGATCATGCAGGACCTTTTGAGCCAAGGTGGGAGAGCAGATTTGATTTTGAATGCTGCAGGTAGTAATCAAATTTTCCAACAGAAAGGACATGCTTCTTCTGTCAATGTCTGGAAATAAGTCAAGTTGAATCTCAGGAATCTTAGCCACAGAAAAGAGTCCAATGCACTATAGCTTCTTTCTTGTGTCATACTGCCCTACTTTGCCAAGCTCGTTGTTGATCTCCGATGGTCCTGGTGTGCTGAGCCAGATGGGGTGGATTGGAGCAGTGCAATGGAAGGATCATATGGTATCATTTGCATGGTTTGAGGTTGTGTGATACTTCCTGCGTTCCGTGGTGGTTTATTATCTCTTATTGTCCACCTTCACTGAGCATCAGAAGTACCTGTCTCACAACCTATAGATGCCAACACACAGTTCTCACCCCTAACCAACTGAGTCAGCGTGTCTAGAGTAGTACTTTACAAAGGTGTGCTTCCACCTTTGATACTTACTCCAGATTCTTGGTGTTTGATTGCGAGAGCAGTGTAGAGAAAGGAATCAAGAAAACAGGAGATGAACCTTGAATTACAAAACTGGAGGGATTCTTATGACTACGAAAGTTAACTTTGGCCATCTCATTCCATATAACTAACAACACTTAATTATGAATACCAGGGGGCCAGGGAAGTCCCTAAACGAGCTCTCCTGAGTTCTGGTCTTAGAGAAAAGGTCAGAGAGATGGGGCTGAGGAAGGGGCTTCATATCATCAGGTCTGTTTCGGAGACACCGCGATGCCTTGGGAGGGGGAAAAGTCACTTGAGTCTTTTTATCAGAGATTTCTGTCACTCCTTTGCTTGCTAATCCACTTGCGTCTGCTCCCTTCAGTCCACTGTGCCTTTATCACCATGGACTCTTGCAGTGCTTTTTTGGGGCCATATCTGCCCCCACAAAAGGGAAACCAGCTTGTATAGGTCTGGCTCCAGGGATTTCTTGTACACCCGGAGCAGAATGGGAATGACAATATAAGGAATGCACACCTTTGTCCCAGGCTTGAGCCCCTAAATCTTGGCAGGTGGCGAAGCAAGCTGCAGATATTACCAATCCCTAGAATCCTGTGACGCCCAAGCCAGAGCTGCAAGGCTCCACACTTCCGGAGCACAGATCGGTTTTTAACATGGCCTTGGAAACGTGCTTGATTTAAGATCCTATTTATTGATTAGCTGATGACCAAGTGAGATTTTGGATACTCACTTCTTCGTAACTGTGATTTCTCTTCTGAAAAGACAGAAATCCATTTTCCTAATCTTATGTTCATCCTTTTTTTTTTGCAAATTAACTGTGTAAGGTAGCATTTACGAGACTGAAACATTGTATTAGAAATCCGTGAATAAGAAAATTATTTGCTTCTGGCATCACATTTTTGGGAGCTTGATAGCTTATATGGCTGTGAATATTGTATCAGACTTGTTAACATTTGGAGCCCCGTTAGAGGTATGCTCCCCAGTAGTTGCTTTAATGACTGTTTTTTAGCTGCAGTATTTTATCTTTTTCCTGTTAAAAAAAAATTAGTATAAAGCAAAGACAATTTCCAGTAATAACTAACATTTCCTTTGTGTAATAGTTACTACTTAATAACCATTTCTTACAGATCTTGAGAAAAGAAGAAAAAATTCAAAACTCCTTTGTTTATGCTGAATAACATTTTTTATGTAGACACATTCACTCTCCTGATATCAAGCTTGACTAGAGATGGATTACAGCAGTATATGTTTTATAGGCTTTCCTGTGAAAGTTATGGAAATTTCAGAAGTTACCTGTGAACTAAAATAGTTAAGTTTTCAATACTCACTAGTTAACACAATCCACAGGTTTAGAAAATATTGTTTTGCGACTGTTAGGATAGTAAATGGGAAATAAAAGCAAAGGGTATAAAGAAAAACTTAATGAGTATTTTAACTTTTATTTTTAAATTGTTTTCTTGTTTTCTTTTATGCCAACTGTGAATGTGGTTATTGCCAGCTGTTGCTATGTCAGTCGAAGACTAAGCCAGCTCTCAAGTCATGATCCCCTGTGGAGAAGACACTGCAAAAAATACTGGCTGATATCTGAGTGAGTATACAGGAGAATGTATTCTTGCCTGAGACTTAGCCCGCCATTCCTATAACACTCATCTGTCCCAGTTATCCTCACCAACCCTTGACTCTAGTGTTGCCTTTGATGGCTGTTCATGGAGCTGCCAGTCAGTATTGATGTTCTCCATGGCTCTGTCTCTAGCCCTCCACTCATCTTCCTCTAAGAATCCCCTGTATGCTTTGTTACACTTTATAACAACTGCTGTGTGAGCCTTACTCCTAACCCTGAACCTCCATCCTTGACATCCCCACCAGACTCTTGGCTTGTTGGCACAGCTGTCAGCTGGACCTTTCTGTTGGTCGTCCCATGTGAGTTCCTGGACTTGGTCAGTGTCAACATACTGGACAGAATGGAGGTGTAGATGACAGAAGGTGGGAGTTGGGAAGGTGAAAGGATAGGTGGGAATTCTAATAGCTATCTTTGAGGGGTGTGAGATAGTGACTGAAGTTGGTCAGTAGAGGCTCATGTGTACCAATAACAGAGCTTTCACACATTGAGAGAAAGAATAGGGAAGGGAGAATTTTAACTGTGTTGCTCTGTCCTTATCTTTCACTTTGGAGATTAGTAGGTGTCAAAGTAAATCAAGAGCTAGACATATAAATATTTAGAATTATAGAGACAATTTCCAGTAATAATTGAAGTTTCCTTTGAGGGCTTTGGCCTAGAATAGAAGACCAATTTTTCATTAAGTTCTTTGTTGCTTTGGTTTTAATAATATACCCACATACTATTTATGCTAATAAAAAATGTACCTTTCTCAAGGGGGAAAAACACACTGAGTTGTTTTTTTCCCCATTCTGCATTCACAGCCTTCATGGCAGCACTGAACTCTGGTACCCACTCCGGAATCCGAAATCACCCTGATCTCCTGCCTCCACGTCTCCCCATGTGCAAGCCTCTCTGATTTTAGTTTCAGTATATTTCTTTCTCTGCTTCCTTCCTTCTACCCTTCCTTTTTCTTTCTTTACTTCCTTCCTTTCTTCCTTTTTCTCTCTTTGCTTCCTTCTTTCTTTCTTTTTTTTTTTTTTAAGATTATTTTGTTTATTTGAATAAACAGAGTTATGGAGAGAGAGATTGTCCATTTGCTGTTTTACTTCCCCCAGATGGACACAGCGGCTAGATCTAGGCCAACCCAAAGCCAGGAGTTTTTTTCCATTGTAGGATATAGGGAGCCAAGCACTTGGAGCATCTTCTGCCGTTTCCCAGGTGCATTAGCAAGGAACTGGATGGGAGGTGAAGTAGCTGAGACTTGAACTGGAACCTGTATGAGATGCTGGCTTTGTAGGAAGCAGCTTTACTTGTTACACTGCAAGCCAACCCCAGTATATTTCTTGAAACTCTTCTTTACATTTACTGTCAACGTTTGAGTTCAGTTCTTCATCATTTCTTTTTGTCCTTATGATATTTATTTGAAAGGCAGAGTGGCAGAAAGAGAGGGAGAAGTACCTCCCAGTGGTTCTAAAGACTGGGGCTGGGCCAGGCTGAAGTTAGGAGCCCAGGTGTTCCATGTGGGTGGTAGGGGCCAACTATTTGGGCCATCTTCTGCTTTTCTTTTCTGGTTGTTTTTTTGTTTTTTGTTTTTTTGAGATTTATTTATTTATTTTTATTGGTAAGGTAGATTTACAAAGAGGAGAGACAGAGAGAAAGATCTTTCAGCCACTGGTTCACCCCCCAGTTGGCCACATCAGTCAGAGCTGAGCCAATCTGAGGCCAAGAGCCAGTAGCTTCTCCCCGGTCTTCCACATGGGTATAGGTGCCCAAGGCTTTGGGCTGTCCTCTGTTTTCTCAGGCCATAAGCAGGGAGCTGGATGGGAAGTAGAGCAGCCAAGATATGAACCAGTGCCCCTATGGGATCCTGGCAGATATAAGATTTAGCCAGTAGGCTTTTGCACTGGGCCCGCTTTTACTGCTTTTCTGGGTGTATTTCTAGGGAACTGGATTAGAAGTGTTGTAGCCAAGACCCCAACTGGTACTCTGATATGGGATTCTAATGTTGTATTCAGTTGCTTAATCCACTGTGCCACAACACCGGCTCTGATTCTGTTCTTTTAACTTGGTTATAAAACCCTTCTGTAGATGTAAGCATTTGGCCTAGTGGTTAAAATACTTCCATCCCACACCCGAGTGCCTTGGTTTAATGCCTGACTCCTGACTCCAGCTGTCTGCTAATGTGGACCTTAAGGTGATGGCTCGAGTGATTGGATTTCTGTCACCAGTAAGGGAATCCTGGACTGAGTTCCCAGCTTCAGCCAGGTCAGGCTTTGGAGCACGCACCAGTGGAAGCCGTCGGTAGTGCTCTGTTCCCTAAGAATAAAGCCCTAGTGCATTGCCATAATCAGTGTATCACCTCAACATCCTCTGTCACTGCCTCATTAGACTATTAGCCTTCAAAAGAATTTGCCTTAATTTTTATGGGCTTAGTGACCAAGTGTGTGGAATACTACACAAATTAAAAATTGAATCATGTAACTACCTTAGAATTTTATGATTCTGTGGCTAATCAATGTAGATATATATGACTGATTTATTATGTCATTCAATACCAAGAATTCTAATATACTTTAAAATTTTTAATAACTTTCATGTTTTAAAATTTTAGCTAAGATACTATTCAGTTTTTTAAAGATCTATTTGATCTATTTGAAAGGCAGAATGAGAGAGACAAAAAAGAGAGAGAGAGAGAGAGAGAGAGAGAGAGAGAGGGAGGGCGAGCGAGGTCTTCCGTCCACTGGTTCACTCTCCAGTTGCTGCAGTGGGCTGGCTGGGCCAACCTGATGCCAGGAACCTGGAATGCCATCCAGGTCTAGACTCCCACATAGGTGGCAGGGGCCCAAATACTTGGACCGTCTCCTGCTGCTCTCCAGGAACATTAACGGAGAGCTGGATTGAAAGTGGAGCAGCTGGGACTCAAACTAACATTTTGGGCCCGGCACGGTGGCGCAAGTGGTTAAGGTCCTCACCTAGCACGCCCGGGATCCCATATGGGTGCCGGTTCTAATCCCGGCAGCCCTGCTTCCCTTCCAGCTCCCTGCCTGTGGCCTGGGAAAGCAGTCGAGGACGGCCCAAAGCTTTGGAACCCTGCACCCACGTGGGAGACCCGGAAGAGGCTCCTGGCTTCGGATTGGCTCAGCTCCAGCTGTTGCGCTCACTTGGGGAGTGAATCATCGGATGGAAGATCTTCCTCTCTGTCTCTCCTCTCTGTATATCCGCCTTTCCAATGAAAAAATAATAAAAATAAATCTTTAAAAAAAAAAAAAGAAAAAGAAAGTGGAGCAGCTGGGACTCAAACTAACATTTTGATATAGGATGCTAGGGGTAACTTAACCTACTATACCACAATGCCAGACCATATTTATGTATTGTATAAAAAGGTCATAAGACTTAGGAAAGCATAGGGGAAAGTCAGAAAATAAGTTTCTCATGATCCCATCTGCCAGCATTAATTTCTATTAACATTTTTGATGTGTATATCACATTTTACTTATCTAATCTAATCTTCACTCACAACTAAGATAAATTTTAAAAAGAAGACAAAAGTAATCACTAATTCCCCGTACAATATGTTGGTAAAGGTCTAGGACACTTGATAATAGCATTTCGAAAGATTTTTTACCTCTCTTTCTTTGAAACTCTTCAGGGAAGAGAAAGCACAGAAGCACCAGTGCTGGAAATCTCTCTTCATCGACACTTACTCTGACGTGGGGAGATACATCGACCACTACGCTGCTATTAAAAAGGCCTGGGATGATCTCAAGCAGTACCTGGAGCCCAGGTGTCCCCGGATGGTTTTGTCTCTGAAAGGTACTAGGAATACAGTCTCCCTTGTCCGTTGCCGTTACTGTTAGTAAGTTAGTTTAAATCAACAGAAAGAGGTTTAAAGAGATAGGTTAGCTTAAATAATGTTGAATCTCTGTTGTCAGCGTGACTTGCTAATTCAACCTTGACCATAACTGAGCACTCACATTTAGCCCAGAATGTAGGCCACTAATGTTGCTGGAAGGACCTAGGTGCTTGCTCAACCTGGGGGATGCTCAGGATAGTTTCTGAGAAGGAAAAGTTGAGCTCTGTTTAGCCTTATGTTTGTTTTATATAAAGAAACTAATAGTACTTGGACTGCGTGGCAATGATTAATTATAGTGGTTTATTTAAAATTTTTTTTTAATTTGAAAAACAGTGTTCTTTGCTATTGTCAGTATAACCAAGTGTTTTTTTTTTTTTTTTAAAGATTTATTTTTATTATTTTTTCATTGGAAAGGCGGATATACAGAGAGGAGAGACAGAGAGGAAGATCTTCCATCCGATGATTCACTCCCCAAGTGAGCGCAACGGGCCGATACTATGCCGATCCGAAGCCAGGAGCCTCTTCCGGGTCTTCCACACGGGTGCAGGTTCCCAAAGCTTTGGGCCGTCCTCAACTGCTTTCCCAGGCCACAGGCAGGGAGCTGGAAGGGAAGCGGTGCTGCCGGGATTAGAACCGGCGCCCATATGGGATCCTGGGCGTGCAAGGCGAGGACCTTTAATCACTTGCGCCACCGTGCCGGGCCCAGTATAACCAAGTGTTTTACCATCTAATGTTCGGGAAAAACCTGAGTCTTTAAGAGTGTCAGAGTAGAATAATAAAGAAAATCTATCCTTTTTTTTTTTTTTTCAAGATTTGTTTGTATTTGAAAGACGTTTAAAGAGAGAGGGAGAGGGCCGGTGCAGTAGTCTGGTGGCTAAAATCCACGTCTTGCATGTGCCAGGATCTGATACAGATGCTGGTTCTGGTCCTGGTGGCCTTGCTCCCCATCCAGCTCCCTGTTTGGCCTTGAAAAGCAGTCAAGGAAGGCCCAAAGCCCTGACCCGTGTGGGAAATCCAGGCTCCTGGCTTCAGATAGGCTCAGCTCTGGCCATTGCAGACGGTCAGAGAGTGAATCAGTGGATGGAAGTTCTTCCTCTCTGTCTCTCCTCCTCTCTTTATATCTGACTTTCCATTTTTAAAAAGAGAGAGAGACACACACTGAAAGAGTTCTTCCATTCTCTGGCTCACTCCCAAAATGGCTAGAAAAGCAGAGCTGGATCTCTCTGAAGCCAGGAGCCTGGAGCGACCTCCAGGTCTTTGATGTGAGTGTAGGGGCCTAAGCACTGGAGCCATCCTCTGCTGCTCTCGCAGACCATTAGCAGGGAGCTGGATTGGATGTGAAACAGCCAAGTCAACCTGGTGCTCACCTAGGATGCTAGAGCAGGTGGAGGCTACCGCATGACACTAGCTGAGACTACCCTTATTTTGACATTTACAGAGCAGTCCAACTAAGGTTTTAATTGAGAGCTATTTGCTACCATAATCTTCTCTGCTGTCATTATCCACTTTTCACAAGAAATGTTAGCAAGTGATTTTTATTTATTTGACTTATTAATGTCCATGAAATTGTATAGATAGGGGCCTAGCCCGGTGGCCTAGCGGCTAAAGTCCTTGCCTTGAACATACCAGGATCCCATATGGGCACCGGTTCTAATCCCAGCAGCTCCACTTCCCATCCAGCTCCCTGCTTGTGGCCTGGGAAAGCAGTCGAGGACGGCCCAAAGCCTTGGGACTCTGCATCCGCGTGGGAGACCTGGAGGAAGTTCCTGGCTCCTGGCTTCGAATCAGCACAACTCTAGCCATTGGGAGATCTTCCTCTCTGTCTCTCCCTCTCTCTCTATGTATCTGACTTTCCAATATAAATAAATAAATCTTAAAAAAAAAGAAAATAAAATACATAGATTGCAGATGTATTACTACTTGTCTGCTTTACCCTCCAAGTTAGATTGTGATTGTTTTTTTTTCAGATTTCTCTACTGAAAGGTATTCCTTAAGTGTTTTGATTTTGCTCTGCAAAAATTGAAATCACTTTTTCTCAAATGTTTTCCTCCCTTTAGAGCTAAGATATTTTTTGAAACAGCATTTCTTTTACTTTTGTATTTCCATTGTAATTTCCTACACAAATACTACTTTTATGCAGATCGTGATTGCATGACAAGGTATTTAATGCTTGAATTGCTAGTAGGAAGCACAAAGAATGATTTTGGCAGGGATAAGAAGAGTTGAGCTTTAAAGGAAAATAGCCTTATTTCATATTTTTAAAAGCTTATTTTCTTAGAAGATTGTTCACTTGGTGTGTGGGGTTAAATATTTCAAGAGGAAAATAATTCCAAAAATGAGCATTTGGTGATGATAATAGATGAGCACTTAAATAGCTATCATGAACCACAAAGGTAGGCAATTAGCTAAGCATTTTGTATTGTATCATTTAATTTGCAAAAAATCTCTGAGAGAAAGAAAGGTCATTGCTATTCTCATAAGTGCACTTTTTTTTAGTGACAGGCAGAGTTACGGAGACAGATGGAGAAAGAGAAGACATCTGCTGGTTTACTCCCCAAATGGCCGTGTAGATGAGGGCTAGGCCGGACCTTAACCAGGGGCCTGGAACTCCATGCATCTCTCCCAGGTGGATTGCTCCAAGGACTTGGGCCATTATTTGCTATTAGCAGGTTAGCAGGGAGGTGACTAGAAGCAAAGCAGCTAGAACTTGAACCGGCACTGCCATATATTGGGCTCACAGGGGTTTTAGTCTGCTAGAACGCCTGCACAAGGTGCACTACTTAAGGAATGAAAAGTTAAATAAGTTATGCTCGTAAAGCAAAAGGCAAAACCAGGATTTGAATATAGGGTGGAATCCGGAGTTACAATTTTAGCATTGGTTGAATTGAGAGATAACTTATTCTAGAATATCTTCGATTTCTTTAAGAACTTGTCCAATATTAGGACATTTAGATTATGAGAGACCCTAAACCCTAACCATAGTCCTAACTCTAAACCTAACCCTAAAACCTAACACTAAGTGTAGCCCTACCCCTTAAGAAAAAAAAGAATATGAGAATAGTTCTCCTTTTAGGTACTACATTTTTTGGGATAGGAAGTAATTTAGGATACATTGCAGCCTCTTTCTTCTTCCCATGCCCATTCTCAGGCTGCCTGCTCCCTAATCACTGTTTTTCTCTCTTTTTAAAAGATTTATTTATTTTTATTGGAAAGTCAGATTTATAGAGAGAAGAGACAGAAAGATCTCCCATCTGTGATTCACTCCCCAAGTAGCTATAACATCCTAAGTTGAGCTGATTCGAAACAAGCTAAACCCAGCAGCTTTTTCTGGGTCTCCCACGTGGGTACAGGTTCCCAAGGCTTGGGTTCATCCTCTGCTGCTTTCCCATGCCACAAACATGGAACTGGAAAGGAAGTGGAGTAGCTGGAGTGCAAACTAGTGCCCACATAGGATCCCAATGCATACAAAGCGAGGACTTTAGCCACTAGGCTGCCGTGCCGGGCCCTGCCTACTCACTGTTGCAATGCAGTGATTGTAGGTCATGTTGCCAGAAAAGTCCTGAACTGCTCCTGATTTGCTGCCAGTGCTTGTTCTGAGTCGGAACAGAGGAAAAGTTCTTGGATATTTATAATGTGGTGTCCTAGGGACTCCAGGCTTATGAATTTTACAAAACTCCGTCAGGACCCCAACTGTTCAGCTCAGGTACATGGCCTCTGAATCAATTTCAACACTGTAGGATTGGCAGATACAAATAGGCATTGGCCTTGGAAGTATTTTTATGGGACATCTTGAAAATACAATATGTTATCATTCCTATTATGTGTCTTCAAGTTTCCCTTCAGTGTTGGTTTGGGATTTTAGAATTTGAAAGGAACCTGAGAATACCTTTTTTTTTTTTCAAGATTTATTTTATTTTTATTGGAAAGTCAGATATATAGAGAGTAAGAGAGACAGAGAGGAAGATCTTTTGTCCGTTGATTCACTCCCCAAGCCACCCCCACAGCCAGAACTGCGCCAATCCGAAGCCAGGAGCCTCCTGCAGGTCTCCCACATGGGTGCAGGGTCCCAAGGCTTTGGGCTGTCCTTGACTGCTTTCCCAGGCCACAAGCAGGGAGTTGAATGGGAAGCAGGGCCGCCAGGATTAAAACCGGTGCCCATATGGGATCCCGGTACTTGCAAGGTGAGGATTTTAGCCACTAGGCTACCTCACCAGGCCCCTGAGAATACCTTTAAACAAGTGATTGGTAGGCTGTTTCAGGGAAGATGAAATATTAAGTAATAGTAAATATTTTAGACGCACATTAACTATCACAGCTATTCAGCCATGCTGTTGTTTGTGAAACAGCCATAGGCAGTCCATAAGCACATGAATATTGCTATGTCCCAGAAAAAGTTTGTTTACACAGGCTGTAGGCTGGGATTTGACCTCTTCAATTGATGATCTCTGATTTATATTAGCACTGTCATTTAACAGGTAAAAAAACATACCCAGAGAGTTTAGATGACGAGTGCAAGGTCCCATAACTAGTAAATGATGGAGGAGGAACTCCAAGCTAGGCTTCCTGGCTGCTGATAACCACTCCGTGCTGCTTCCTGTGACTAAACCAGTGGGGAAAGGCAGTGAATGAATGTCGAATGTTAATACACTTTATCAAGCATTGAAGTCTTTCTCAGTCCTCACTGTACTTCCCTCGAATAAGTGATTTTATCCTCCTTTTGTAGATGATGAAGGAAACAAAATTAAAGAAATTGAAAAACCCGATCACATGGGCAAGTAGTAGTAGAGATTTGAACCGCAGTCTTACAAATTCCATAATCGGATATCACTTCCGGCCTTTTCCCTTGTGTTAATCACATGCTTCCTCCTGGCTCTTTAACTCTGTTGTTTTTCTTACTACTTTTGTGCTTGTTTCTATTTCTCCAATAAATTTTTGATTTTTTTCATGTTACATGTTAGAT